GGTTAAGACCGCATAACATTATGCTTTAGACATTTATTACAAATTCTGTGAAAAATAGAAACCAGGCTTTAGTTAATGTATTCGTACTTAGAAAAGTGTCAATTTGGTTTATAGTAGTCATTCATTTTTCGTGATTTCCTTTCCAAACGAATTCCAAGCCAATTTATTTTGTCAAAAAAAGAAAACAACTCCAACAAAAAAAATTTCAAGAAATTCCATCAATATTATTCATGGAACATGATACAATATCTATAATACAATACAAAATCGGCCCCAAAAACAGAACTTTCAGTTTCAAAGTCTTGATATTCCCGAAAATAACATTAAGTTATGATGCTGGCTACTTCAAGTAAAATAACCCCCAGATTTTTGTGAAATTTTCTATAAAAGCTCCGTTTGCAAACAAAACAGGTAACTCAATTTTTTTAGTGGACATTTATACGGGCCAAATACTGCTCAAAATTTTCAAATTTTATTTTTTAGTATTTTAGGGAGATATAACTTTTAGAGGGGGTAGGTAGGTAAAAATTTTCTTCTACGAAAATAAGTTTCTACTAAAAATCTATGTACATATTAAATTTCAGATTTCTATCTTCAAGGGCGTAGAAGTTTTGTAAACAGACACAGGGACAGACTGACACACGGACGGACGGACAGAGTAAAACTTATAAGCACTTTTTTTAAAAAAATTTTTTGGAAAAGTGCTAACAATTTGAAATTCAAGGTTTGGAGGCAAAAAATTGTTGAAAAAGAGCATTTATATACAGCTGCAGTTCTTAGCATTAAATATTATAAAATTTTATATACTTGTAAAAAGACTTCATTCTAAAAAAAGTAAAAAGTGAAACATACAGTTATACATACATTTAATGCAATTACATATGTAGTAATAATAATCATCAATCATAGTACAATTCTGCGACGCGTTTTGAAATTCTAGCATCTTGATTTAATAAATTGAGGTGAATTTCTTGCGGTAATTAACTAATTAAAATTTTCAAGCCATATTGTTATTATATACCATGTAACCAATAAAATTTATATCGCACCGTTCGAAAGCCCAGTGGTTGATTAAATTTTAGCCACAACAAATCGGTAAACATTAACATATAGGTAGCTCTTAATAACGACGGTTTTTTACATCATTTTTCAAGACTATTCGTTCTCTCATGACATTGTTTGTCATCACGTTTGTTTACGCTAATAATTTAAAATCGTGAAAGCCCTGTTCAAAAGCTAACCGCTGTTCTACAAATACTTATAAGAATAAATTAGATTGTTTACTGAACAAACAAGCTTTAATATAAATATATTTTATTGATACAAAAAATTTACTTTTCGGGAACGACAATACAGTCGATTGATGTAAAGATGAAGTGGAAGCATTAATTAAATTTACAATATTAATATATTAAAATAATTGGTGTTGCACGTGAAATCAAACAGCATTTACAATTTAGTTTGATTATGTTGTACATAAATCCATTGACCAGAAATTGCCATTTAGACCAATAAAAAATAAAAATGAAGAAAACAGAGGAAGCCATGGAGGATGACTGAATTAAAAACTCAAACGATATTTTATGAATTTGCTTCACATTTATATCATACCAAATATAACGATGGGCGTGCAAAATAATTTAATTTTCATCCGAAATTATACATTATATAATTTAATAATATTATATACTACACTTATAATAATATTATAATTGTGTTCAAATAACGTATTTTTCACTTCATATGAAAACAATTGGCTTTATTGCATCTGAAGTACTTTCAATGATCCAAAAAAATTAATTTAATAAAAAAAAAATTGAAGCACATAACCGACCACAAGGTGTATTTTCTAGTTTGGCGAAAGTGCTGTATAAGATTTAAAAAACGTCTTTTAAACAATTCTTTCAAATATTAAGATCACTAGCAAGCTTTTGGTTTGCATACTTAGAAAAATGTTAAATTGATTCTTGATATTATCCAAATTCCTGTTATTAATTATAAAACAGCACAACCTGTTTTATAATTAATTTATTCCAACATAGCTTATTTTGTTGGTTTTTTTGAATTTAGTCTTATGTTTTCGTTTGTATTCACAAGATTTCTGAAAATTTTGAAAATATTTTGCATCGGAAATAAGGTGAAGAATATCTTTCTCATTATGAAAATCACACAAGGTTAAAAAATTTTGTTTTCATTTTGAAAATATTTTGTTTTTTAAATATTTAGAGGAATCTTCATCTCCTGTAGAAAAAAATTATTGTAAGATTAGTGAGTTGTAATTATAAGTAAATTAAGATTAAAGGAAAGTCGATTGAAAAAATTTTTTAAAAATCTTGACTTTGCTTCAAAATAAGCGAACAAAGTTTTCTTTACCTGCCATATTACGGTCACTATTTATATTTCGGGTCTAGCAATAAAAAACAAACATTTATCATTGGAAATGGTTTTATTGTTTTTCAAAATATTCCCCATGAAGATCAATACACTTTTGCATGCGCTGAAACCAATTTTCGTAGCACTTTTTCCACTCCGATTGAGACACCTCCAAAACATGGTTTTTGAACGCATTGACTGCTTCTTCAGGTGTTGAAAATCGTTGTCCACGCATTTTTTTTTTTTGATGTGAGGGAATAAGAAGAAGTCATTGGGTGCTAAATCAGGACTGTACGGCGGATGACCCATCAATTCGACATTTTGAGTGCTCAAATAGTCCATTGTTTCAGCTGATTTGTGAGAGCTTGCATTGTCATGATGAAGAATGATTCGCCGGCGCTTGTTTGTTTTCCTTATTTCTTCGAAAACTTTCGGCAAACAGATGGTGGTGTACCATTCAGAATTGACCGTCCTACGTTCCACTAAAGGTACTGTGGCCACATGACCGGTTATACCAAAAAAAACGCGATCATTTGCTTCGATGTGCTTCTTCCACGAACAACTTTTGTTGGATTTGGCTCGTCTTGGAACACCCATACGGTCGATTGCTGTTTCGTTTCGGGCTCATATGCATAGATCCATGATTCAACACCTGTGACTGTCTTATAAACGTCTTTTGACGCACCGCGATTGAATTTTTTCAACATTTCTTTGCTCCAATCGACACGAGCCTTCTTTTGTGCAATCGTCAAATTTTTTGGGATCCATCGACAACACACCTTTTTCACGGCAAGATATTCATGCAATATCTTATGTACGCTGGTGGAACTAATGCCCAAGGATGCCTCAATCTCACAGTATGTCACATGCCGGTCCATCATTATCATTTCGCGCACAGCATCGATGGTTTCCGGCAAAACGACCGAAATTGGCCGACCTTCACGAAATTCATCCTGGAGCGAACGGCGTCCGAAACCAAACTCTTGGTACCAGCGATTTACAGTGGTTTTTGATGGTGCTTCATCACCAAAAGTCGAAACAAGTTGATCGAGACACTCTTGTCTCGATAATCCGCGCCGAAAATCGTAAAAAATCATCGCACGAAAATTTTCACGGGACAATTCCATTTTTTGACCGAGATGAATTTTTCAAGTCACTGTAAACAAAACAATTCGCGCTCGAATGACAAAACGTTCTGAGTGAAGTTGTCCTAAAAAATGTCAAACTTTCCAATGGAAGTGTCAGATTGCACCTGGCAGCACTAGTATTGCCAGGACCCGAAATATAAATAGTGACCGAAATATAAATAGTAAAAATGTAAAAATTAAACGGTTTTCCAAAATACCAACTGTGAGATCTCATAACTGAAGAAGAAGGACTAAAAAAGCAAAATGTCTCTTCGGATTTTTTGTTATTCTGAAGCCATTAACCTGCTTCGAGAGTTACCTTAAATATCAAACACCCTGTTTAATAGACCAACATGACGAACTCAATACTGAATTGTTTAATTGTTTCTTTATACAGGGTGTCTAAATATTTGTAACTTTAAACATTTGGCATAAAGCGACAAAAAATTTTAGAGATGATTCTTAGCTGATACGGATCAACTGTCAACAAAAAATTGCGACTCGTTTGCGAGCTACAACCTGGTGGAAAGCAAAGTTACCGTTTAGGGTAACCATTGGGGGTTTGTTTTGTAGGTACTTGAAATATAAAAAAATAAAAAACTATTTAGTGTATGTTATGTTTATGTGAAATTTATGAACAACGCATTTTTCGTACGTTTTTAAAACACATTTAACACGTTTACTGGAAAAGCTATAAGACGCGGAGGGAAATGTTATATGGGTTCACTTTAAGCTCTCATTGTAGCGCATAGAAAAAAAATTTAAAAAAAACACACAAAATTTTGATTATCAATTAAAATTAAAATCAATTAAAAATTTCAAAAAAAAAAAAAAAACAAAAAGTCTGATTTTGACGAGCTTTATCCCGGAAACTAATAATCGGGCTCAAATAAAATTGTTACAAATCGATAATAAAGAGCAATCAATCGCCTGTCTTCTGAAAAGACAAAAAAAAAATCACCTGATGATTACTCTTTGTTGCATTGCTCCGAAGCTATCAGCATTTATTTATATGCAGGAAAACTCCGGCATCGTTTTTTTTCAACAGGCCTTATCTCGAAAACGAGTACACCTGCACTCACTCGCCTATACATTTTGCTAGAAATTGATCAAATCATCCCTGAAATAATTAGCAACTTTATGCGAAATACCCTTTAAATCAAATTACATTTCCCATAGTTATTGAGGTATTGCCAATATCTAGTTTATGAGTTTAGCCGCAGAGCTGTACCATCTCTCTGGTCAATGTAAACCAAAACTTTCCTAATGCTAATAGGTGCATATACAAAAAAATGTTCTAATTTCGCAAAGTACATAATATTGTGCATATTATATAATTTTCTTTATATAAAAGTACCTAGTTTCCATTACATACAATAAATTTTTCACAATTTCCTTATTTGTCTAGTTGTTCTTTCTCACTCAATGTTCTTACTTAATTTTGTTACTTAATTTTTTCTAATTTAAACTTAGCATAAAAACTGTCTTACATTATCTTACCTTGAAAGCTCTCTTCATCACTACTGCCTTTTGATTTCCCTTGTTGATCATTTGTTTGAATAATTTCATCATTAGAATTTTGGTTTTCATGCACACTGCGATTATCATTATCAATTTCCACTTGTTTTTGATTATCTTTATAGTTTTGAGTATTATTAAATTTTTCCTCAGGGTGAGACTGAAATTGGGTTAGTTGTAATGAAATAATAGATAAATTATCCGAGTTTTCACTTGAATCTCTAATATTAGCACCGTCAGTGTTATATTCTAAATCTATATAATTTTTTTGTTGTATATTTTCGTATGAATTTATGTTTTCTTTGCTCACATAACATTTTTTGTTTTCAGAATCTGTAGATATTTCGAATTCAGACGATTCACTGAGCCTATTGTTTTTATTTTCTTTAAAAGGCAGATCTTCATTTTGCCCCAATTTTTGGTTTTCAAAGGGATATTTATGAGTTGATGGAATATTCGAAAGCAATCGAGCTTCAGCAAAGCCAATTGTCGCAAAGCTAGATTCAGGTTTAAAATCTACTGTTTTTTTCTTCAAAATATCTTTATTATCCTCGTCATTAAGTGATGACGAGTCTTCGCAGTTTTGCATATTATATTCAAAGTTGCTGTTTCCATTTTTGATATTATCTAAGCATTTTTCACTTTCAATTGAAATTTGATTATTACAACAAGTATTTTCCATAAAATCATTATTCCTTGATTTGCAGTTGATTTCGCATAAATTTATATTATATAAACTTTTATGATTCTCTTCTTCGTTTGAATTATTATTAACATATTGGTATGAATATCCTAAATTGCACGAAAGTTGTTGAATTGATGATAATTGCCTTGTATCAATAGCTTGGAATTCTGAATTTTTGTGTAAATTATGTTTAGCAGCATTTGGAAAACTATCACGCGTTCTATCGTTAATATTTTTGCAGTTTATAAACTCTGTTACAATTTTGTTTGTTTCTGGTGGTTCAGCAACAGTATTAGAAACGTTGGATGTATTTTCTATGTCAATTGTGTTTATGTTATTTAAATAAATTACTTGGTTGTTTGAAAGATTGATTCGATTTGTCAGTGCGTCATTATTTGTTTGTTCTGAAAAAAACAAAACAAAAATCATAATCAGATAAGAAATTGTTATACATTTTGTAAAAAAGTGTGTCTTTTATATATTTTATATACATTGTTTATCTTTTATATATTTTATATATTTTGTTACTCATAAATATAAAGTCTCGTAAAATTTATATAAATTACTAACCTACATTAAGTTGATAAATTACTAACCTGCATTAAATAAGTGAAATTGCTCACTCATCATAAAATACGTTCTTAAACAGAACAAATATGTAGTTCCTTTGAGTTTAGTTCAAGCAAATATTTCCGTGGTCTTGTAATTTTTATAAGTAAGCATTTTTTGAATATATCATGGGCAGAAAATTATTTTACGCCACGCGTCATTTAGTCAGTTTCGAGCAAATTTATTCTAAAAGTTTGATTGAACTTGATAGGTAAACTAGCCGAAAAAATAGCTTTTTTTTATTGTTTAATAACAATTTTGAAACATTTTTGAAACAAGCGTCTTTGAAAAGGAACGTTAAAGAATCGCGTTAGTCCACCTCATACATTTGATGATTTTTTTTTGCAATGTATGGCGGTGGCCTAAAGTACAGTGGACCCAATTATAAAACGAACTGAATATTTATTTATCAAACTGAATAGTTGCTTTGAAAGATTTGCAGCATGACCTAAATTATTTTGATAAAGTTTGATCAAACCAATGGTTTGTATTGTAGCACTTTTTTCTTCATCAAGTGAAAATACTGCTTCTAAGAACAATTTAAGTATACCTACTACACTGTTAAAATTACTTTTATTCATATACGAAACTATTTCATTAAGGATTGCATATGTTTAGAATGAGCGTTAAGAAAAATAATTATATTTTTTAGTGGAATGGAATTCAGCGTTAGTTTTCCGCGTTTATAAAAAATTAAAAAGCTTGCGGTTTGTGAAGTATAAGGCACCAAAAATTCAAATTTCACAAATTTCAAGGGCCGATAGCTTGTGAGAGGGTGGAGGTTACGAGAAATTTTTCCACATGAAGCAAGTGCAATATGTCAACCTAAAAAACTACACATTATAGTTACAACCTAAAAAACGACACATTATTCTTACACGGATCAGAAGATCCAGTTTTTATGCCAAGCAAAACTTCTACTTTAGAAAAAGGGAAACCGCATTAACAGTACTTTCTGAAGGACAAAATATATGAAGGCATATAAATCACGGAGATTCATTTAGATCAGTTAAGAGAATTGTAGCGTAAATATTAAGATTTACACAAGTTTTGAAATCCAGAATAAGAGTTAACTCAGTGCATTTAACATGTGGAGAATTAATTTTAGCAGAAATTGCTATAACACGAAGGCTTCAACTAGTGGAATTTCGGGAGGATTTGACACAAAGGCCAAGCTACAATAAAAAAAGGGAGAAATGGAAACCTTAGTGATGGAAACTGAAGCTATTCTGAGTTCAAACCTTCGCAACTATGGCTGATATTTTTACGTTAACAACAGCATACTTTCTAACAGAAGGAGCATTAACCCAAAGGTTGGTTACCAACCAGATGGGAATTGCTGCAGTCTTCGTTGTCAGTTTTAGAAACAATGGTGAAAACAGTACTTATGTGAACTACAAAAAGGCATAAATAGAATAAGAGGACTGATAAATTATGTCCAGGTGAACTAATTGTCATAAAAGACAGGGTAAATTGTCTTTTATGACAATAAAAGACAATTTACCCTGTCCCTGGAGACAATAAAAGACAATTTACCCTGTCCCTGGAGACTAAACTACGTGGTATTAAAGACTAAACGGTACGTTTACCACGTTAGCAGAAAAAAGTTTATACTTTCTTATATTATATTTCACAAATCCTTCAAAACGACACCTCAAACGGATTTGAAATAATTTGAAAAATATGTTAAACATAACAGCGTCTTTTCATAGAATTTATCATTGTAAACTTAAAATATTAATTTAATTAAATTACTGGAACCTTAAATTTAAGAACAACACATTTAAACATTACTTATTAGATATTTATATTAATTTATTTTATTTTCAGTAGTTTAGCCAAATAACAACCTACAGAAAAAAGGGTAAGATTTGGAATATTAAAACAACAAAAGAAATGCCTTCGGTTTATCTAGAGCAAGGTAAATAATGGCCAACATCTCCTTATCATTCGTTTCGTAGTTTACTTCTGTTTATTTAGTGTACGCGATAAAAAAGTTATCGGCTTGTTACTTTTCATCAGAACTGCACCATTGCATAATTCTTTGCTTTGATCGTAGATTTTTAATTATTTAGCAAAATTTGAGTGGTTAGCATAACATACTAAAGTGGTTTTTAACATTTTGTATTTGATGCATGGGCATGTTGATAACTTATTTAGTTTCAATTTTATTAGGATTTAGTTTCAACTTCTCGGTTCCAAAAACAAACCTTAGTATTTCAAACTCCGTTCAAAAGAATCCGCGTTTATTGAACTAGTCCCTCATATTTGCGAAATTTAATATCATGAAAGCAAGTTGCAAATTGTTTAGATGCTCATCAAGGTCCCTACTGAATGCTATGATTGACAGACGATATTGTTTTTCAATATGTTCTGTCGAGATGACGATGAGGGCTCTTTAAAAAAATGGCGAGACGTTCTTCCACCAAAGTGAAAAAATCCAAGTTAATTTTAATTATTAGGTGATATCCATTCTTTACGTCAATAAAGAAATTCGAAACATTTTAATTTACAGTAATCTATTGCCCTTATTAATTTTTAACACACAATTTATTATTTCGCAAAGCGAAAAAATGCAAGTTTGCTTTAATTAATAGCAGAAGATCTTAGAAATATTAGGTGAAATCCATTCTTGACGTCAATAAAGAGATTCAAAAGAACTTTGTCAATCCCCGAGATCGGGTGCTTTTCTGGTATTCTAAAATTTTATTTACGGTAATATTTTGCTATTATTAATTTTTAATGACATACGGTAATTTCTAAGGTCTTATAATGCCTTATCTAATAACTCATAACCTTAACGCTCTACCTCTTTCATCGGTGCCATAGGATACGTCCAGTTAAGTTTCGTCTTTGTATTATTTTATTCGCACATTGAGATGGATCTGACCGAAAAATTGTTCGCAAATTTCGAAGCTTTGGTTAGAATTCCAGGATGTAGGTTGGCGAGGATTTGACTAAATTGGGGCGGCAAAATTTTCATCTTTGTCTGTCCGTATTTCCGTATTAAATACTGTTTGCTTTTCGTAGAGTTGTTTAATGGTCTTTTAAAAGTATATCTTTAATACGATGACATGTTTTCTTACGATTCATACGATTGTCTTGGAATGAGTGCTTTGATTCACTTCTATTGAAATCAATATCGCCGAGGATCTTTGAGGATCTTTGTTATATCGGTTAGGTCATATTTGTGGATAATTTTGTGTAGGATATTGATTTCATCGGGGTAATTTTAATTTGCGGATAAAATTCTTTTGCGGATATAATTCTTGGGACTTAAAATGTTTAACTTGAAGTAATTTCAACCTAGCATTAAGTTGAAGAGTCCATGTAGGATGGAATTTTCGCATATCTTGTTTAGATTATTTTTCCTGTAGTTTTTCCTGTAATTTATTTATAAATGCTCGAAAATCTTTCTACTCGTTTTTTACTTTTTACTATATAAAAAATTTTATTAAGGTCCGCTAAATCCTTTGAAATTTTTTGTTGTACATTATTATGTATTATGGAACCATAAATTTTACACACGTAATTTACATTATATATAAACTTCGAGCTGCTCAAAAACACCGTTTTCTATGAATCCTTCATCCTAATTGCTTCCAGCTTCTCACCATCTGATTAAGTTGCAATTTTTGTTCTCTAGTTCTTATCGGCTTTCGCTTTTTCTATTATCATTATTCTTGTTTTGGTTTTTATTATTTTATTTATATCCTTTTTGGTATTATTTATTTTGTTCAAAAAAATATGTTGCTTTATTCAGTTAACAGCACTTAGCCACTTCTGCCTTATTCCTACTCTCACCTTCACGGGGTAGAAACTGCTAACTTGAGCAACCTGCGTGAGCGGTTGGGTAGCAATCCTACAGTAGCGATCAGGTCAGGAACAGATGAAAGAGAGAGAAACGCTGCTGCTATGTAGATGACGAGATTACTTTCTCAAAGGCTAAAAGAGGAAAATTCTGAAATCAAACAAAACTCAGAAGCGTTCGATCCCGAATAGGCGACTTCCTGGTCCGCGTTTTCTTTCAGTGGGACGGCAGTAATTATAAGAAGGGAAACTAGTACATCTTTCAAAAGACAACGGGAAACCACTGAAATAATATACCTAGAAAAGTCACATGGAAATGCAAAATTAACCAGAAAGGCTCTGTTCGAAAGAAAATTCCACTTTCTGTCAAAAAGTGGAATGTTCGAAGTTTATTAGATCCTGGAGTATTGGTCAACACGATCCTATAAATGAATCGGCTAAATATTGATATTCTTGGAGTCAGTAAAACCTCGTAGTCAAATTGCGTGAAATACCAAGCAAATGATAGTATATTCTACTCTTCAGACAAAAATAACACAGGTGTTGCGATTATCGTTCCAAAATATATGCGGCAATATGCCAATGAGTTTGTTCCATATTCTGAAAAAACACTACTTCTCAAATTTAATACAGCCGGTAAACCTAAATATTATGCATGTCGATTTCAGCGCCAAATAGTCGAAGATAAAATCGAGACGGGAATAAGCATATGGAGAAAACAACTATCATGGTTGACAAACATTAGTAACTGGACAAGTGTAGGAACGACACAAAAGTTATTTCATCTTGCAAACAATAGGGAGAAGTATCGTACCTTAATATCAGGAATTGTATAGAATAGTAAATTTTGATTGAATAAAATTCCTGTGATCGCTTACATCCTCGTAAAGGATTGCATTTTACAAAGAAAGATTGATTTTTGACAATAGTTTTGGTAACTATCTTCTACGAGAATTTTTAAATAATCTTCTATGGGATTATCTAC